CCTTTATCAGACATTTTTCATGCCTATCACCAGCACTGCACAAGTGGACCACTCACAAAATATACCAATGCAGGATTGTGTCCAAAGAGATAAGGCAGATGGAAGCTGATGCTTAAAAGAATTGTCAAAGTCACATTGACCTTGGTTCTTTGTTTGGGATTCCAGAGATCATGGGGTGTATTCAGATAGATTCCATAGAACCTTTTTCTCTGTTGGCAACATTCTTACGAAAATACAAGAACGGACAAGCTGTTGAATGCGAAAGACCAAGAAATCCTGACAGTATGAACTCAGCATTTTTTCTGATTATGTTAAGGTTGGAATCATAACAGATATAAAGAGCATATCAAGAAAAGGCTATAGCTTCATCCCAATAAAAATCAGTTCAGGTAGTCAGTGAATGAAGGCCTGAGCTTAAAAATCTTAAAAATCTGGTGCATAATATTTTAAGCACCATTGAAAATAATGAACTAGAGTAGAATACTATAAAGGAGTTCCAGCTAAGAGCCACTGTATATAAATATGTCCATGCTGTGTCTCACAGCTATGATTTATTCTTGAATATACACTACCATGTTATTTATTCCACAAGTAAGAAACATCTTTAGAATTGTAGAATGTATTTAGAATTAAATTATACTATATGAAATCAATGTCATTTTCTCTCAGCATAAAACATCTGTATCCAAAATTATGCTAAAGGCTTTGTGCACAATAAGATGGTTAGTATATTATGCATTTTATGAAGCCTTCATGTCTCGTCTGCTTCAAAAGATATCCACAAAGTGCTGAGATCATTTCTGAGAAAGAGGAATAACACAATCTTGAGTTCTAAAGTCTCAAAAGCTCCCATTCCTATTTTTTTTACTGTGCTGCTCGCAAAATGTTTAGAACTTTTGAACAGCATTTCAGAATTGTTTAAGTCACTACAAACTAACATAAACATATCTGATGAGCCTTTTCAGACTCTCAATCATTTTCAACATGCCAAAAGTCATCACAACATTTTATGCACATTGAAGCAATAGCATAGGTATGAGACCTGTCTAAGGAATTTTTGAGCCAATATGTCTCAACAGTGAAATTTCAGGATGACCTTTGTAATGATCAAAGACCCTTTGCAGAGAGCCAGTTCAAAACAATTGTGTTCTTCATAACACTGGACAGAGCAATGACAAATAAAACAGATATGTTAGTTTGAATAAAGTAGTTTTTATGTTGTCTGAGCCACAGTCATCCATCCATTCATTCAGTGTCAACAACTGATGATGGTTTGTATGTAACTACAGAAGTTCCTGGTTAAGAAGAATGTTAGTGATTTGTCAAACATTTCTCCTAAGTAATTGCTGTTGTGCTGATCATTACAGAAATTTGATTCTGTTAAGAAAAAGAGGTGGCCGAAAATCATTTATTTCTTTTGTACTATTTTTTACTAGTATCTTCACACATTTCTGGTTAAATACATAATACCTTCAATAATGGAAAACCAAAATAGATACTGGTAAAAATTAGAAAATATTAACATTACTGGTAAATTAACTAATAAGCTGGCTCAATATCTGTTTAAAACGTGGAGTCACATAAGAATCTCTTAATGCTGAATATATTTCCTTTTAGTCCTGTACTAATATATCCTTTATTTTTTCATCATAAACAAAAAAAGTAAGATGTTTGGAAAGGATTATATTATATGAAAGAGTTTTGTAGAACTTCTACTTTTCTAATTAAAGTTGAATTTTGAGAGGTATTAAGAACTGAATTAATTGGACAGAAGGCTTGCAGATTGAGATTTTTTTTAAAAGGCGGGTTAATCAAGGCAATAGATCACTTATAAAATCTGAATGTGTGCTTATTATATATTATGAAAATACAAATGTATATTCTTCAAAAATTTATAAGATGATAATCCACTCAAAAATTGGAAATGTGGAGTTTATGAAAGTGGTATTTGAATTCCATTTTGAGAAAAAATACTAGAAGGAGAATGGAAATGAGTGTGCAAAAATGTATTCTTAGGTTACCCTTAAGTAACTTAACAGGAAATCCACTTAGAGACTTTACATCATTTATCACTTCATTTTGTGCAGTATAGGATTATTGTTTACTTTTTATGTTTTATTGGTTACTATTGTGAGCTGCCCAGGATTTATTGTATATAAGATGAGCGGCCATATGTCTATTAAATAAATAAATAAATTTCAGTGAATGGTTCATACCTAACAAAAATAATATTTTCTGGTAAGAATATAATTCCGAAAAATAAGACATTATTAATACTTTTGGTAATGGCTGCTAATAACTCTAACCCTAAATTTTAAAAAAGAAAACAACTATCCATATGACATAAAAATGCAACAGCTGTGAATGATACAATGTTTGTGAAATAAAATACATGGAAATGGAACCTTGATTTTTCTAAAATGTTGAAAATGAATTGATTCAAATTAGTGAAATGTTACTACTGGGAAATGTTAACATGAAGCAAAAGTATTTTATTTTTAAAGATTACTGAGTCAGTAAATAGTATTTGAAAATATGCCATCTTACAATTATTGGTTTTGTCTTCCCTTTTCTAGCATATAACTAAGAGGCTAAGGTTGTCTAACTAAATTCCATTCTGAAGAGAAGTTCTTGAAAGGCCCAAGTTTAAGTTATCTTATCATGGAGATGAACAATTAGGTTTCGTCTGAACTTTGAAACAGCAGAGAGAGATGGCTTGGATAATGATCCATGCAACCTCCTAAAGTAGCAAAGAACATTTTGTTCTACCCAAACAGCGTTATCCACTAAAGGTCAAAGCAGTAATACCTGCCCAGCCCTAGCATCTGTGATATATCTTTTCTACTCCAGAACTGAAAAGACATTTGACAATAAGAGAGTTAAGTACCATGGTCCTTAAGCAATTTTGGGCAGCAGCTTCCAACTATGTGTTTCTTTCAGGAGGGGAGAATCTGTCCATTTATCTGATTTCTGAAGCTTTTCTGAGCACACACTACAAGTCTATTGTGATCTGTAAAAAAAATAAGGATGTTAGGGCATATTTCCATAATCATCACAGTTAATACATGTAAGCAATTCTCATTCATTCGAAGCACCATGTAGAATTATGTTTGGAAAAGTCTGGTTTATGCATCTCGAAAAGCCATCTAATCATTAGAAATATTATAAGATATTTCATATCCATGCAACAGTGCGTGTTTCATGTATTATTCAGTCTTAAGATCAGTGTTGTATTTGCTACCATTGCCTGAAAGCATTCTGTATGCTTTTAGAAAATGAAGCCTTGGAAAATATTGGGCCTGGTAGAGGGTGGGAAAGATACTACCTAAAATTGCCGAGCACTGTGTTAAAGAAGCTATGTACTTTCTATTCCCTGTTAAGGGTATAACAGTATAACTTACCTTTGGCTAAGGCAGTGTTTCTCAACCTTGACAATTTTAAGGCATGTGGACTTCAACTCCCAGAATTCCACAGCCAGCATTGCTGGCTGTGGAATTCTGGGAGTTGAAGTCCACATGCGTTAAAATTGTCAAGGTTGAGAAACACTGGGCTAAGGTAAGTGGGCTAGAACAGAATACAATACAAATACAATACAAATCTAACTGCTTTATTTTCATGACCTTTATCAAATAATTTCAACAATGTCAACAATATGTTACAAGTGCTGTAGAAGGATGCAAATGGCCGACAATCATACCTGTCATTGCAGTTTGTAGAATATGACATGACTGACGTGTGAAAAAACGCGAGTTACAGTTGTCTGGTTTATGTAAATAGAAGAGGGCTGTGTTGTTCAATTCTATTTTTTAGCTTTTGCTGTAATGAATATTGATAGATGTTGCAAACCAATCTCTAAGACTGCAGGTTACTGTCCTACGAGAATGCACTGAAAAGGGAATTATAGCTGAGTATTTTAAAGACTCTTACATTCAGAAGTTGTGGCATTTATCCTGTCCATTCTCCCCCCCCCCCCGGAATCACCTATCTTTGAAGCAGCACAATATTAAAGGCTAAAAGAAATTTAGGTGCAGAAGGAAAGCAGTATCTGGAATAACACGGAACATATGAAGTATTGACTTAATATTTAGGGCACATGAAGATTTATAGTTTTTGGAGGGTAAATATTTATCTTTCAGATCTATGTATTGATTTACACTGAGATGAAAATCAATATTTACTTATTATACCCATTTCAATCTAGAAATCTTAGCTACATTATGGAAGTGTGCTACTCCTGCATTCTTACAGTTTTTAAACTGCATAACAACGAGTGAGAAAATGCATAGATTAAAAAAACCTATTACAACTTTTCCATTGGTGATTTTAAGATAATATATTGTTCCTTAAATAAAATGTCACCCCTGTTCTAGAAAAAGAGTTTTGAAAAAATCAGTAACTAGGCAAATGAGGGCTGGAGCAACCATTCTATTCAAATGAAAGAATAAATGTTTTCAATTGGAAAGTACAGCACAGTAGATGGAGAAGTCTGGGTCTTCTAGACAGACTTGTGAAATGTGATTCATGTTCCCCCACTTTTTTTCCTAAAGCTAGTAGTTTGCTGTGAGTTGGCTCCCTTATTGTTAAAAGGCAAATGTATTGTGAAATGGGCTATAATTTTCCAAGATGCATGGTAAAAATGACCTGCATTTATCTCCATTTTGTGGAAATCCTATGTGTGAACCTCATCAGTTTCACTATGAATTAGTCAAACTTTCCCAAGTTGGTTGATCTCTCTCTCTAAGAGGTACAATACTGATAGAAGAGAATATTTGTAGCTTAGGGTTGAACTGTGAGCTACTTGGTGCTCTCTGAGCTTGTTATTTATACTCTGAGGTATAGTTTGTGCATATCTGAGGCAGGCAGGGAAAAAAATACATACTGTATGCTTTAATGAAGTGCATTTGTAAAAGCATAATAACAATCTTATGTAGAAAAAAAGAGGAGTATAAATATTACAATGATATACTAAAGTAGACCATTTTTCTCTTGCATTCTTACAGGTGGCCTTGCACTGGCCCAGGTCCTATTTTTTTATGTGAAATACCTTGTACTTTTTGGTGTTCCAGCACTTGTTATTCGCATGGATGGACTCAAGCCTCCCGATTTACCTCGTTGTGTAAGCACCATGTACAGTTTTTCTGGAATGTGGAGGTTAGCTTTATTTGATTCCTGATGTTTATTATGCAAGCCTTTTTTATGAAATAACAGTTGGGTGCCACGGTAGTCTTTGCATATTGCATACAGTAGTCATTACAATTGTCTTCTCTTTTTAGAATAATTTTATATTTTGAAGGGATTTTATTGTGCTTATGATTTTAGTATGTTTAAGTTTGACATTAGCATTTATTTTATATATAGTAACCATTTTATATTGATACTTATAGTGTTATCATGTAATCATTGTTCTATTATTTTGTAATCATTATTTTGTAGTTAATTGCTTGATCAGATGCTTTATATAAATATATTGGAAAAGTAAGGGCTTCATGCTTTCGGTGAAAAGAGCACCTTTAGGTGAAAAGTAAGGGCTTCATGCCTTATATCAGTGGTTCTCAACCTTTCTAATGCCGTGACCCCATAATACAGTTCCCCGTGTTGTGGTGACCCCCAGGGGTGTGGCCAAGTGGGTGTGGCCACCAATAAGAGGGAGTAGGACAGCTAGGGAAAAGGGAAAAAAATGGCGGACAGCGTGGTTTGGTGACCCCCGTGAAATGGTCGTTCGACCCCAAATGGGGTCCCGACCCATAGGTTGAGAACCACTGCCTTATATGAAAAGAGCACAATATGGGGAGGGGAAAAGGAGTTATGGATGGAGCCTAGGTTGCTGTGTATGAGTCATCATCTAGGAATTATTTTTTTGTGCCATCTTATGCCTAGTACCAAGACCTGATCTCTTTATTCTGAAAAGGTATAAAAGGTGGAAGACATCTTTTCTGATTGTTGCCTTCATCTCTCTACCAGCCACGAAGAGAGATGGGGTCACCCAATTCTATTTTGATCAAAATAAAAGTTGTTTGCTTGTTGAAATCTCGGTTCAGGAGTTTCTTTGGCTCTTTTAAATTCCTGAGTAATGCTGGGGCAATTGTGAGGCTAAGTGGAAAACCTTACATCCAATAATCACTGTCACCTAATGCATAGAAAAAGTCAAACCGGCCATTGGGATGTTCTTGACTAACTGACACTGATCTGATAATTATTTCCCTATTCAGTTGTTTCTGAAATATGATTCACTTTCCATTATTGTCCCCTTGAAAAAAGCACTTTGTCTAGAAAATTCATAAAGTCGGTTAAATAACATTTTATTAGGCAATCCCATAGGAACAGTACTGAGGATAATTTCTTCTGTGTCAAGTTAAAAATAATGGTCTCTACATGTAATGAAGTAACTAGAGTCACTTTGAAGGTGTAAACATTGGATTGATTTCAGTGCACTTTTGGATTTCCATTCTTTTAGAAGGTTATTTTTGCTATTGTGGATGACCTATATAATCTACTTTTGCTGTCTAGAGAAAGGGGCTAACCTATGAAATGAACATCTGCTTAGCTATTTAGTCTGCTCTTGATAGTGTGGATTTAGCAGCTATTCCCAGGAATGTTTTATATCATCAACACTGTTTGTCAATTACACTGTCCTCCAGATGGCATCAAGCTTTCCACCATATGTGTATGATTGCTAACCTCCTTGTAATGAGCCTTACGATGGAATTGTTTCTAAAAACTGTTTTAGAGCTTTGGCTGGTACAATGTCAATGAGCTCATTGCAAGATGTCCATAAGGTAACCTAAATTAACATGACAAAAATAGCTTTCATACATAAAATTAAAACCTATTTGTTCCCATATTAATCAGCTGGATATCTTTGGGAAACCCGGAAGCAAAGCAAAGGCATCGGTTTATTGCTTTCTTTATTTTATATAATGTTCTCCATAATGGTTTGATCCTATTTTATAGTCGAATCCCTGTTATTTAGGAAAGAATGAGTTCAGTTACATAATACTCTGTTATCCTGAGATTTGAAGGAAAAGCCAGATCTAGAAACAGTTGTTTCAAGTTAATAGAAAGGAAATTATAGGGAAGTTATTCTAAGTTTCAGGAAACAGTTGAAAGCCTTAGTTTATCATTCCTTAGGAGAGGAAGAAATTGTATATTGTGGTTTAGATTTTACGTCATCATAATGTTAGTGGCTCATGTTTATTTTAAGAGAGTGTTACTATTTGAGCTAATATCAGATTTGTACATTTTATTCTTGGTAACTATTATTATTATTATTTTCTTCATTGTGCCTTTCATACTTTTCTAGTTTATTTTGCTTATTTATTTATAACTGACCTTTATTATTTTTACAAATAACTCATGGTGGTAAACACATACAATAAAGCCAATACAGTGCTAGGCTGCATTAACAGAGGGATAGAATCAAGATCACGTGAAGTGTTAATATCACTTTACAATGCCTTGGTAAGGCCACACTTACTGCATCCAGTTTTGGTTACCACGGTGTAAAAAAGATGTTGAGACTCTAGAAAGAGTACAGAGAAGAGCAACAAAGATGATCAGGGGTCTGAGGCTAAAACAATTAAAGAACGGTTGCTGGTATTGTCTAGTTTAATGAAGAGAAGGACTAGGGGTGACATGATAGCAGTGTTCCAATATCTCAGGGGTTGCCACAAAGAAGAGGGAGTGAAGCTATTCTCCTAAGCACCTGAAGGCAGGACAAGAAGCAACGGATGGAAACTAATCAAGGAGAGAAGCAATCTAGACCTATGGAGAAATTTCCTGATAGTTAGAACAATTAGTCAGTGGAACAACCTGCCTCCAGAAATTGTGAATGCTCCAACACTGGAAGTTTTTAAGAAGAGACTGGACAACCATTTGTCTGAAATGATATAGGGTTTCCAGCCTGAGCAGGGAGTTGGACTATAAGACCTCCAAGGTCCCTTTCAACTCCCCCCCCCCTCCTCCTCCTCCTCCTCCTTCTTCTTCTTTTTCTTCTTCTTTTTCTTTTTCTTCCTCCTCCTCCTCCTCTTCCTCCTCCTCCTCTTCTTTTTCCCCAGAACAACAGTCTTGTGAGGTGAATTGCGCTAAGAGAGAGTGATTGGCCCAAAGTCACCCAGCTAGTTTTCATGGCTAAGGCAGGACTTGAACTCATAGTCTCCCATTTTCTAGCCTGGTGCCTTAATCACCAAAATGCTACTGGGTTGAGCACAAAAATGCTCAACTGGCAAGCTGAGAACGAGAATAAAGAGACTTGACATCTCTTTGAGCTCTTTTTCTTATTTGTTTTCTTTCTATTTTGAACAATGGGAAATAATTTATTTAGACTAGCTCTCAGGCTGGTGCAGATGGCTGTCTGGGTTGGGAGTGTGATGTAGGAGAGTTTTTATTTCCCCTTTCAGTTATCACCATCCAATGTCTAACTAACACTGGATTTTCCTATTTGAGGATGGAATCTTCCCTCTAATCCTGGGTCTCCATGAATCACAGGATTGCTGCCCAAATAAGCCAGTTTTTCAAATTGTATTTGAGCACTTGGCCTTTGCATCCTAGGCAAGAAGAAACTGCATGCATTCAAAGTTCACTACAATTCAAACAAGCTTTTCAATAATTAATCAGCAAATTAAAATCTAGTAACAAATAACCACTTTTCAGTGGGACTGCATGTAGTTCTGATTTAGAAAGAGATGCTATCTGACAGGGATGTGCAATGGAAAGAACAGATGTTTTAAGAATTGCAGAGAAGTGGTACATTTAGATTCCTGTTCACTCTAAAAACATGTTTTTGAATTAGTTTTGAAGCACTGCACAGCCGTGCTAATAAGATGATTAATACTTTAAAATGTAAGTATAAATTATCAAACCTGGAAAGAGTATCCTTATCCTCAAAAATAAATATACTGCCTCAGACCAGACACACTCTCTCTGAGCCCTAAGAATCAGGCAATGGCAAACCACTTCTGAAATCTTGCCAAGAAAACTGTGAGGAACAGTCTAGGTGATCACCATGAGTAAAAAATTGACTCAAAGAAGTTAATAACATAAATTAAAATTACAACTATCTAATGAATATAAAATAATTATTTAATAGCTACCAAAGACCCAGAGTGATTTACAACTGATCTCAATAATAAGGTACCGTACACATTCAGGGGAAATGACATGTTGACAGCAGAAGCATCTTTAAAAGAGCTTCTCATGCAGAACTTAATAACTGGACATATTGTAATGAAAGTAAACACCATATCTCTAGTATCTGTTCAACTTTTTGCATTTTGGATAGTCTGTGACCATATCATATTCAGCCTTGATTATCACTTGCTGTGGTACCTAATATGAACTGAGACATGAAGGAAGGAAAAATTGAATGCTGTGTTTATTCTCTCTTACATAGGAGCTTTGGGATATTAGATGCTGTTCATAAAAAGTAATGAGCATGTTTATGGATTTAAAATAAATTACAACAAGATTCCATGAAAATATGAAATAGTTCATATTTCCATCTATTGCGAGTGGAAAGCTATTATTGAGTCATTCAAAACGATGCTGTTTCAGATAATAATTAATGTAAGTTCGCTGCCTTGAGTTATTTATATAAAATAAAGCAGAATATAAATAAATAAAAACAACCAGTTGCAACCATAATAAAATGTGATTGGGGATGGGGGCACGACTATGTGTCATTACTGAAAAATATTTTTAATAACATGCAGCCATTTCACCCAACTTGACATCAAGTTGCTTGGGAATTTAGGAAACTTTATTTCAGCACATCTGGAGATGTCAGATTGAGGAAAGCAAATTTACAGCTTTGCCAATTTTAATCAGTGGTGAATTCATTGATTGTTAGACTTTTGAGAGTGAGTGGTAAAGATAGCAAAAAACAGTTTTAAAAGCCATGACACGATCCTTTCTGGGATTGGAAAGATTGTTTTCTATTTCATGCTTGGAATTAGGCTAGACTAAGTATTGGAGCTTCATGACAGGGTTTCAAGCTGCTTTACTTCTTTTTCTGTAAGGCCTGGGGACAAGCTGTTTTTAATTCCACTGTGGCATGGTAGCGGGCGTGGGAAGGAGCCATTTCCATTCTGAGCTTAGATCATCCTTCTCTGTTTCCTTTTGTAACCATAGTAAAGGTGATATTGATTTTTTTTTTC